TTTTGATTGCATAGTAAAACAAACTTTAAAAAAAATAACTAAATTAAACAATATATAGAAATATATTGTTTATAGAAACAAAAAATAATGTAGTTTATTTCTTCAGATAAAATGTCTGTAACAGACACCCGGTTTCCTGCTCTATTGGAGCAGTTTGCCGTGGATTTACAGAGTCCAAATGAAGATACACGTCGTCGAGCAACAGATGAACTTTACGAACGTATTATTTCACAATATGCAGATGTGAGTGAGATTTATCATTTTATAATATGAGTAAAAAAGAGATCTATCTATAAATTTGATTGTTTATTTAGGCTCCATCTGATGTTGTTACAGTTATTGCTGAACAGGTACAAGAATTTGTAAGAAATAAAATGGCTAATCCAAATGATGTCAATGAAAATCGCGCCGCTCTTCTTGTTATTCGTATGTTTCAATGAAATCTTTTTTTTGAACCTTATTTTTATACGATATATATATATTTAGTATGTTTTGTTTGTGCTGGACAAAATTTTTATACTGAATTAAGTAATAAATTAGAACCAACATTACGTGGTTATAAACAAATGTCAGTTGATGCTAATCTATGTGAATTAGTTGTCAAATTAACATGTATACTCGTTAAAGTAATTTAATATTAATATTGGTCTTAATCAAAAAAATAATTTTTTTCTAATAGGGTTGTGGTCGAATGAGTATCGATCAATTTTCACTAGATGTTCCTAAAGCACTTGAACGTATCTCGCGAGAAGAACAACATGAAACAAGACGTTATAGTGGTATAACAATATTAAAAGAAATAGCTATAGCTGCTCCATCACGTTACTATCATTTAATAACACCAGTTGAACAATTTTTTGAACAACTTTTTGGTACAATGACAGATCCAAAAGTAATAGAATTAAAAAAAAAATATATTCTTTTACTTTTTTTTTTTGTTTAGCAATATATTCGTGAAGCATTTGCTGAAACAATGCAAGCAACATTAGTTGTTCTTATTGATCGTGAACGTGAAGAACAAAAAAATAATAATAGTGATATAACAACTGGTCAAGATTTAACAAGTAGTAATACAAGTTATGCAATAAATACAGAATCAAATACATTCTTAAAAGCATATAATATGGCTTATAATGAAGCAATGAAATGTTTACAAGTTGAGACAACAACAAAAAATAAAAATGCACAAAGAGAAGATCGAATTCATGGTGGACTTCTTTTACTTAATGAATTATTACGTGTATCAGATGTTAAATTTGAAGTAAGATAGATTTTCAAAAGTATTTATATCTATTAATAATAATAATTTTCTAGAGTATCTGTCAAGATTTAATTCAACCATATAGTGCACCAAAACCAAAACCAATTTCATATAAAGTAAAATATGATTATATTTGAAATCTTGCATAATTTTTTTATATTTTTAGGATGTTCATCGTTCTCGTGTTGCTTTAACATTCGAACGTACTGGTCCATTATCTCCAATGGATATTATTGATAATCCTGAACAATCTCAAATTCAAGTACAATCATCTTTAATTCGTTCAATTATGCTTGAAAATTTTGTTAATATTTGTAATCAAGTATTTCAATATCGTCAACAACCAAAATCTATGATACCTAATGTTTTAATTCGTATATTACCACGTTTAGCATCATTAGATTATCGATGGTTTTCTCATCAACCCTATGTCGATGCTACAATGACATTTATATATGAACGTATAAATTCTCATGAATTAAAAGAACGTCAATTAGCATTTCATGCATTAGGTTTAATGATATTATCGGATAAAACAAGTCGAATAAATGATACAGATTCATTAATAACAACAACACCATTAACGAAAGATATGACGAAAATATTTGAATGTTTAAAACAAACATTTATTCCAATATCATCAACAAATACTTCAATAACATCTGGACATGCTCATCGTCGACAAAATTCAAATCAATCATCATCATCTCAACAACAACAACAATCATCAATAAATAATTTATTACCATGTCGATATTCATCACCTGATTCAAGTGTATTTGCATGTATAACAATGATTGGTGAAGCTGGACCAGATGCATCAAAATGTTTAGATAATTTATTAGAATATTTATTACATTGTGGTTTAAATCATTCATTATTATTTTGTCTGGATAAATTATGTTCAATGCCATTAATACATACAGATACAAAACGTAAAATTCATCAAGGTTTATTAGAAAATCTTCGATCAATTCTATCTAATCCATTAGCATATAATCCAAATTTAACAAATGGACAAAGTGATATTATACTTATTGCTTTACAAACATTAAGAATATTTGATTTTGAAGCACAAGCTATTGAACCATCTTTTATTGATATATTAAATCAACGTTTTATTGAACATGATAGTGTACGTATAAGAATTGAATCAATTATAACAATAACACATTTATTAAGAAAATTATTATTACCACCATCACAAGCAAGTCTATCAACAAATACAACTACGTCATTAATAGCAGCTAATAAATTACGAATTAAAATTGGTGTTATTACACAAAGAATATTAACAATTGGTGTTACTGATTTAGATCCTGATGTACGTTATAATGTTTTTTTAACATTACAAGATGATTTTAAACAATTCTTAGCTAAATCTGAAGCATTAGAATTATTATTTTTTTCTGTACATGATGAATGTCATGAAATAAGAGAATTAGCTTTAAGTCTTATT